GGATAACCCATTTTGCAGCTCTGCGTTTAACAACAAACAACTATTCTTACATTGTACGTACTCTATTTGTTATACATTTAGCGCCATCTGTCAGGTAATAAAGTAGCTACAGGTGTGCATTATTCTATCCATTTCCTTGTAAATTTTATTTTAATAAAATTCTATATCTACCTTATTGTTAAATATTATTGGCTACTATAATGCAAAATATATATGGAATTAAACAAAATATGTTTTTAGGAACAGTCTGGTGAAAACAATATTTGAAAAATAAAAGTATTTAAAACTATTATTTTAATAATTAAAACTTTAAAATAGAATAAACAAAGTCAGATACCATCATCAACAGAAAACAGCTTATATCTACACTTCGAGATAAAAAAGGAAAACTAACACATTAACAAACGATTAAACATAACACAATATCTAGAACGAAAATTTGCATACGCTTATAAATGCAAAATATATAATCAAAATACAAACACTAACAAAAACACCTTAGAGTGAATTAAAAACTGATTGAAAAATACGAAACATTAAAATGGGTTAACCAGAAATTTGGACTGTCATGTAAAAACGACAGAACGATGTAAATAAAAAACAAAATAAATGGTTTATCGTTTAACTTCTTCATTGGCCTAAGATACTAGAGCACACAAACAATGCGAGATTGAATATCGGTATGGTAACATGAACAATAAAAACAGTTTACTCTCAACCAGATCTTGTACATCATTATAAATACACTTATTGTGAACAACAGTTCAAAAACGACAAAAATACGTGGATATTTTAATCAGTGAAAGACAAAATTGCCAATCATCATATTTTCCTTTTTTCATTACATGAACTCATAATTATAAAGTACGCTCAATACATACAAGTTTTCAACGCAAGATAGGTTGGACATTATTTGAAATTAATAATGAATTAATTTTTCCTGTGGTGTTCCACTCGGTTTGAAGACTAGGTTTTCTGCCATACGATTGAAGAACAGAAAACTGTAATATTGCTGTGGCATTCCATACGGTTTGAAAACTGAGTCGTCTGCCATACGGTTTAACACTAAAAAACTGAAATTTTGCCTCTGATGTTCCACTAAGTTTGAAAATTGAGGCATCTGCCATATTGTTCAACGATTGAAAACTTTAACTCTCTTTAATTGATACTTAGCGAGTTATCTAGTTACTCGTTTTTGCAATAAGCATTATGAGATTTAAATCATGTAACAAAAATCAAGGTGTTGTTTATAAAATGATAACTATTTGTATTTATTAGAATATATAAAGTACTTGCATCTGATTATGTGTACATTTTTTTTAACATGTAAAAATCTTTTCTCGTCTCCCAATCAACATAAAGCAATGTCCAGTAAACGCACGTTTTCGGAACTTCTATCATTCATAATGTGTTTACAAGTGCAGGGCTATCGCGAAAAAGTTCTGGGTCTCCTACAAGATCCTTTCAATACATGTATATGGCGCGAAAATGTTACCTTCTTAGAAACACAGATGTTCGTAATCACGTGATTTCTATATAATTATCAAAGTAGGACAATTTAACTTTTAATTGTTCTTGTTACAAATTATTCGACAACTTTTGGGAATTACACTACTTCGCAACAACCATTTCGATGTAGAGCGTGGCCAATCCTGTGACATGGACAATCACAGATTTTCATTAATTTCAACTTTGAAAAACTCTTCTCAACAGATGCAACTCGGGCTGGAGCTGTAGGTAGCTCCCCGAGGACAATGCATATGTCGAGATATACAGCTCCTAGATAAAGAGCAGTGTTCCTGGGAGAACTGTGGCTAAGCCTAAAAGTCCAATAGCTAAACCAGTTCCGTCATCGCTTGACTTAGATATATCGGCACTAGATAAGCACTAGTTTTCTAGTTCATTGCTTTCATATTTTCCAGCTTTTACTGAGGCCATCTGCCGTTGTCCCTAATTTTGAATTAATGACCAAAAGGAAGACAGCCAGTAAGCAGCCCTCGACCATTCACACTAACAGACTGACTGTCACTCCGTTAACTCATATTGCGAAGAATATTTTGTGGAATCACAATAATTTGAACTCGGCTGCTAGTTCCCAAGTCCAACCCCTGCCCTTTAGTTTTACGGTCTCATTCAATGTCCGAAAGAAATTTATCAGCGATATTTTTTTATCCATTACAGCATAAAACTTTGCCCTTAATTCCATTTGTGTTAAAAATTTCCAGTTTCCAGGGTGATAAAACCTGTCAACATTCTGGAATTTTTTTTCTCTCTCTCTACCAAATGTGTAACTATTGTAATTTTCCTGTTAAACCCGACTGTTAAATGCTGCTGAATTCTAATACTTTCCTTTCCAGATAATGAGGTATGCCACATATTGAATGCTTTTTTTTGAGATTCTAAAGATTTTAAATATCGTGCCAGAAATAAAAACATTTATCAGCGAATTAAATTTTGTCAAAAATCATTTCCAGAAAAAATAAATAAAAAGATATTGCGTAATTTTTAAAGAATACACAATCACAGACTTGACACTAATATTTTAGAAAATAGTTATCCTCTGACCAATTTTCATTGGTTGGAAAAATGTCTACAAGTTGTACAGATTGAGTTTTTATTATTAAAATAAGGAAAATATCTCCTTTCACTTTGATGTCCTTTTGCTGCATGTAGTTCTTATAATAAAACTAGGACAATCTTTCTCTCATTGGTAGTAAAGCTTAGTATACGTCAGCTTCAATACAATAAAAATGAGATATCCTCGTCTTTTCATAAATTTCTATTAGAATAACAGAGTAATTAACCTTCAATGAATGAAAAATCAAAACCGATTATAATTCAGAGTGAAACATTCCAACAAGCATTTATGTTGGAGAGATTGTTTTTTTGCAGTATAACTTTGCCAACTAACCTGGATCATTTCTTTTATCGTTACACTAATATAATTTTTTCTATTCATATTTTGGGGCATAGTTCATTTAGGTTCACCTGTCAAATTAAATTACACAAAATGGCTGTTTTGTTGTTTTTTTTTGTGATGGATTTGCTATTTTGATTTGCAAAGGTGTGATTTAAGTCTCATTAGAGGATAGTCAAAAGATTAAATATTTCATTGAAAAAAAATAAAATATAAAGAATATAAGTTATGCTTTTAATATCTTACTTTTTCATTACACCTAAAAACAATTAGCATTCTTAATGAAAGTATAAATGGATAAAAAAAACTTAATTAAAAACTAGTGATATTTTAATTTAATAAATGAAAAGATAGCAACACTTGTAGGTTAATTGACACTTGCTACTAAGACTACTGGTTTGCCCATGATAAAACAGCAAACAGTGTAGGCTCTAGAGGTCGATCAAACTCTCCTAAAGCTAGAACAGTAACTTTATATTCTTGCAGTGTTTTAGTTTCACAAGAATCTTAAATGCCTGAAAGTCTTTTGTATTCATTTGATGTAACCAGTTTATTGTTTGTTTAAGAGACCATTTTTGTGTGTGTTTCAGTTATTGTAATATATATATATAAAGAAGAAGAAGAGATAACCAAATGTTATCTTTCTTATTCATCCTTTTGGTATACAATGTCAAGGCAGTAACCTTTACTGTTCTATTTGCCCGAGAAACCAGGCTTAGAGATGATGATCTCTGTGTAGTACATTACATAAACAGAGCGAGATTGATAATTTCATCTTATATTTACCAATTTGAAACTAAACATACATATCAACACAACTGACACTTTAAAAAAGTTGTTTTTCTAGTTAACCTATTGTTTCTGTAGCTTTTGATTTCCTGTTGTTTAGGCACAATATTTCATACAGTCAACTCTACAATCACTTGCATGTAAAGGAAAAGTGTGTGTCAGTAAAGAATGTGGATCTAAAGTATGAGTAAGAAAATCAGCATTATGTATAGCAAAAAATAGAATAATCTACTCACATATTTTAATGTTTGAAATACTGTGACTACTAATCAAAAATTGATTTTGAATATCAAAAGCAAATAAGATTGCTATTCTAAAACTTTCAATTTTTTTCATTTCTCATTATCAGCAATGAAGTTTTAGTGCCACTATCAGTCAAACTACTGCTCTAAAGGACCTCACTGTTTCCTTTTTTTTATTCAGCTAAAACGATCACCATATCAAAGATTTTTAGTTTATCTGTGACCACAACTTAGAATCAGAAGATCTTGACACCAAACTGATCACACACTTGTTGAGCACAGACAATAATGATGCAACTTAAAACTCCTGAAACAGCTACAGCAGAAACAGCATATGGACAGTGAAACACACTGCAAACTAACCAAGTTTTTAAGGTGGTAATATTAACACTGTAACTATGATTCTATGATTTCATTTTCTATAAAATAACAATTTTCAGAGTAATTTGAGAAGCTAACTAAATTACAGATGACCACCAGATATTGAAATTTGTAAGGTTTATTCACACAATACTAGCTCACTTTCCATTCTCTTTGTCTTTTTTTATTTAAATAAGACATGGTGGTTTTTGTTCAATACTAATACAATCTATTCTAGCCCATTTTGTGGCTTTATCATCAGTGAACTGTGATGTTTACAAATACATAAATCAAAACTCAGCTGATAATAATAATAACACTCTTGATGTTTATCTCAGAATTGAGAACTTTTAGTTTGATGAACATTAATGTAAAACAGTAACAATTTTACTAATGATCAACGAAGAAGCCCAGAAAAAAAAAAATGAACATATAATTCTATACTAAAACAATACAGAGCTAAAAATAAAGAATAACATTTATAATTACATGTTTTTTAGCCACAAATAATGGGCAGTGAGTGAGTCAATACTTTAGTAGATACTATTCACAAAAAAACCCACCCTGCTTTATTAGCTTACCCCATAAAAGATGCGAGAAATAACATGTATGAAAAGTACAGATATTATGACCACTGTAGCTCCTAGAGATTAAAATCTAAGTTTTATTTCATTAAGGCCAACAAACCAGGGTGTATGTAAATAAATTTATTTTAAACAAACATTTTGCAGTATTATTTACTTCAATTTAATTGCAATGTGAAACAATCTTTTCAAAATCCATCACTTATCCACTTATCTTTTGAATACAGCAACATTAGTCCCTGAAAGTCAACAATACAGAATGTCATCAAAAATATAATACAATTTTTCTATACTTTACCAAACAGTTTTAAATTGAAATAATTTTCTAAACTAAATGTTTAATACTTAAGGAAATGGATGTGAAAGAATACAAAGATTGTCAAAAAAAAAAATTTTTTACTTTTAATTACTAAAAAAATAAAAAATATATAATAATAATAATAATAATAATAAAGAATACTACATAATTGAAGAAGTTAAAATCATCGTAAATAAAATATTACTTAAAAGCCCAGACAAGCATGGAAACCAGAAATGGTTTTGCTAAGTAGCACCTAGCACAGGCTGGCTTTAGCACAGGGTTCAGTGAAAAATGCATATAATACTTATTTAGACTAAAACATAAAACAGAAGTAGTCTGTTAATACACTGATCTAACAAAAAGAAAAAAATTACCAATTTCTAGGCAAAACTTAAGCAAGGATTGAGAAGCTGCCTACCTTCATTCTCATAGAAACATACTAAGCAACCAGGCAGGAGCAGACAATTCACAAACATTATTATTGTAAGGAACATAGCAATGAAACCAAAGGTAAAACAAAACCACATTTACATGATAAAAACCCAATATACAAGTACTTTATTATCAAATATTACAAAAAAAAAAAAGAACTGGTTAAAAAGCTTTCTGTAGATTGTGAAGAAGTAATGATGTGGAAAAAAAAATCTTTTCACAGGCACTCGTTAAAAAATAACTGTATTCAAAGAAAATCCTCTTCAGTCAAAATAAAGAAGCCAACATCTGCTTATTCCTAAAGCTCAAAACCAGCAAATATTAAAAGTTTGTATACAACAAAGCTAAATATTACATCATGTCTTGCCACTTTTCTTTTTACTGTGCAAGTTTTGTGGATGTGCTGCCTAGTCTCAACATCAGTTTAAAGAAAAGATAACCTTCATTTAATGATGTCCACAACACTGCTGCTCATCAAATACTAACTTTCAACTGTACCCATGGCAACAGAAGCATATAAAGAGGTGGAAGGTTTCACTGAACAACAAGACTGAGACTGGAAGGCTTGCACCTGTTAAAAACATAGTAAAACATTGTAAATTGTGCCTGGATATATATATTAGACTGGCCACCAATAGTGTTGGTTTTATATTTTTATGATAATTCAATGAATATTTACTAGCTTTTCTTTTTCATCACTCAAAAAAAGTAAAATTAATACTTTTATTACAATGATACTTATATAGGACAGAACATCAGGCAAGATAAATATATTCAAATATTTCTCAAATGTATTTTCAATTTCAACTTAAAAACATACACAGATAATACTATTAATGGCAGGATATGAAAATGAGAATACATAGGGACAATCTTAAAATGATAAGATATCAAAATACACAGTGAGATTCTTAAAACCCAAAAGATCTTAAAACATAAACATTATTAAAAAAATTGTCATATCAAAACACACAGAGACAGCATTAAAATTTCTTCAATGCAATGCTATGTATTTCCCTTGAATGGTAATTAAAGAAAAAATTTGTGAAAAAACAAAAACAACACTACACAACTTTGAGTGAGAAAAAAAAAAAGTACAAAATTCCTAGGTTTCAAATTTACATGGTAATGTGTTTTGGGAACTTTTGCTAGAAATGTAGTATTCAAACACAAAGAAAACATAGGTCTGCAGCCTTAAAAATTCAATAGTGTAAAATAGTTACTTGTCAGTACTTAGGAAGCACTGTATAAGCATCCATAGAACATATAATAAAGACTGATTTAAATGTCAAACCACTCCAGTAATTCATTACCAACCTAAAGACAGATATATGTATCTATATGTGTGCGAGTTTCTTGAATTTAATAAACTTGGTCTCACAACTGATTACTAAAAGTGAACTTTTTAATATGAAATGCATCTGATTAAAGACAATATATCAAAACTACCATGTTAAACTACTGTTGCATAAAGCAGTTTTATATTAGTTACAAAACTAATATATATATATTTTATACTTTACCAAAAAAATAAATAAATAAATGTACATTATAAAATATGTAAAAGCGGGAAAATATTATGTTATAAAAATAGATTATATATATCAACTCTGAATGCCCAGTATAAAATTACTAAGTTACTTTTGTAAAATATTTGCACACTTGGTTTAATATAGAACACACAAAACCTTATTTTGTCATTAATCTCTAAAAGACAGTTAAAATTTTATCAAGTCCAGTTGAGTATCAGAACAAATAAATGACAACTGCTTATTTCGTTAGTTGTAAAGAGGTCTAGGAAAAATAATAATAAATTCAAATTCAAAAATGAACAAAATTTTATAAATCTTCAATGAAATGGTAAATTAGTTATAAAAGATATAAACTTGGAAAGAAAGGAACCCATTAACCACATAATAAAAGATATAAACTTGGAAAGAAAGGAACCCATTAACCACATAATAAAAGATATAAACTTGGAAAGAAAGGAACCCATTAACCACATAATAAAAGATATAAACTTGGAAAGAAAGGAACCCATTAACCACATAATAAAAGATATAAACTTGGAAAGAAAGGAACCCATTAACCACATAATCTGAGAAAGGATTATGTTAAACTATTTATGCTGAGCTATCTGTTTATTTTTCAAACTTTGATGACATTTAATTGATTTTTCTGCGGTTACATTTTTTTTCTAAGGCACTTATTATTTAATAAAATCTTTGTTTGACCTTTTAATTTCCTTCACATTTGGGTAACTCAATACAATTGTAGTAATAAAATAAGTAATCACTTTTTTTTAGCTCCAATGACTTTGATACTTAAGTACCAAACAGTAGTCTTGTTCTGAACTTGCCAGAAAACAAGTAGCTGTTATCTTCTCTTAAATACTTGTGAATCTGGTGTATTAACAACTACTCCAAATCTCTAACACGATCTTAAGACCGGAAGAAAGTCCTGTATAAACCTACTGACATTTTAATCATAAATCCAAATAGGAGTTTAAAAGTTTCATGTTTGGAAACAGTAACATCTTAGATCATTGACAAGGAACTGCAGCTATTGGTAGTTCTCACAAGCATCACTGAAAAAAGTACCATATATTTGGAAATGCCTTGCTCATAATTTTTTTTTTAAATTATTTTTCAAAGTACATAAGAAACCAAATCAAGTAAAACATTTATCTTAATTTGATTTTATACAATCACCAAAACTTAAAAAATATACATTGAGCAGATTTTTCTGTTAAAATTAATGTCTAACAAATGTTTCTTTATTGCTAGCAATATCAAGGAGGACCCTTGACCAACAAATGGCCTAAATTAAATACATGGGGAGACGAGCACATTACTGAAATATTTAATATGCAGTTTTTTGAATAATTTCTAGTATGCATTTCAGAAAGCAAATTTGTGTCAGTGTTGATGCTAGTACCAAAGTAACTGACCACGATAACTAATGTAACAAAATCCTTCCTCTTACAGACTAATCTAGAATTACACTAGAACAAAATGATAAAAACTCTACAACCCAAACATTTTCAAAAGGTGGACCTTTCTTTTTCAAGGGCAAACTGGGAATCACACTAGCACACACAATGACACTAAGAACAAAGCCACATTGGGCTATCTGATGTGTTCACTGTAAGGAGTGGAACCCTGGATTTTAGGGTAGTAAGTCTGCAAGCTTACCATTGTTCCACAAGGGGACCTAAGAAATGCTAACAGAGCACAAAAAATATTGAAAACTTAAAATGAAAATATTAAAATTGAAGTATTCTAGCATAACTCACAAAATGTAGGTAACTAAATGTAAGCAGAGATTTTTGTTCTAGAGCTTTCTATATTTCACATATTTACAAAATAAATAAAAAATTACAATTAAAAACTGAATACTGAAGGTGCTACATTAGGCTAAAACAATCTCATGTGACAGAAACTTTACAATGTATGCACTTATGAATTGACATGCATGAGAAAACTATCATTGTTGTTAGAAAGTTTTGAAAAAAAACTAGGAAAGCTTCAAGTTTCGAGCAATTGTAGAAATCAATTGAAAAACTGAGCCTCAACCAACAATTCTAATGTAGAAGTTCTGCTACACTACATTTTTTTATGCTTGTGACTGACATAATTAGAAAGTTCTTGTAATGTTCAGAAATGTTGCAAAATTGGATATAAAAAAAAAGTTACAATGGTCAGTTTGATGTTGAAAAATAGACTACTATGTTAAGTAAAACCATGTGCTAAAACTGACAAGTTCTGGACAAAGTGTAATAAAATTATTAAAACTGTGCATATTCTATACTCATTTGATAACACTTTACTTTCAACAACAATATTACACTTACCAAAATCCTATGTTTATGCAGCAGACTTTTCTTTTTCCTTTTCTTTGTCTTCTTTTTCTTTCTTATGCTTCTTCTTTTTCAGAAAAGATGGAGTTCTCAAGCCCTTTTTCTTCTTCTTGTCTTTTTTAAGTGATCCTTCACTAATATCCTTGGCTGGAGATCCCTTGAAAAACAAATTTCTTATTCAACAAATGCATGAAAAAAAAAGCCATATAAAGTAAAGCCATTTATTATACTGTTATTAACAGATGCAGGAAAATATATCAATAGAAAGAAAAACATATATTAAACTAGTTTTAACAGATGCAGCAAAAACACTCATGAAAAAAATAAAGACAATTTTTAATCCCCCCCCCCCCTGCAATAAATGAAAGGTATCCCCAGTGAAGACTTCAAAACAGAAAAAAATATTTAATTTATGTTGTTGTTACAATCTTTGTAGTGATTGTTACACTTCTACTCCCTTCAGACAATTCATAAAAGACAGGGCAATTACAATAAATATTTTTGTCACTTGGTTTGTTTGTGGAATTTTGTGCAGAGATAGTTGAATGCTTTCTGCAATACATATCCCTAATTTTGAAGTGACAGACTTAGGGGGAAAAGCAGCTAGTCAATACTACCCACTGCCAAATCTCGGACTACTCTTTAACAATGAATAGTGTGGGATTGACCATCATACTATTACATCCCTACAGCTGAATTTATAACTTGGATAAATTAATATCTTGGTACAAATGGTTAAACTGACGAGTTTTATATGACTGGATTAAATATTGCTATTTCTTGGATATCTGCATGGCTACTAGTTCTAATTAAATAGTATACAGATTTTATTTCGTGTATGCTTTATGAGTTTTATATAACTGGTTGACTTAGGTATGTAACTGAAGTCAATCAGTTATATGTAAACACACACACACACAGAGATGTCAGTATATCAGTCAAAGCATATCTTTTGTTTCTTGATAAAAGTTGAATGTGTAGAAGTCAGCTGTTAAGTTAAATCATTTGAAGATAAAGCAAATCTAATCATCCTATCTTTTCTTTTTTTTTTTTACTATGTGATCCATATAAAATATAATGCACACTTAAGCTCACCTACTTAGTTTCTGTTAATACTAACAACCAGAGCTTACTGCTACCTTGCTACAAGTGCAATTTACCTCTTTACTGCTGCGAGAAGCAGCTGATACATCTCCACTTTCTGTTGACCTCAACTTTTCTCCATTTACTGCAGTATCACCTTATTTAAAACACAAAACCAAGAGTAAGTGATAGTTTCTGCATAGTTCTTCTACAAAATTATGTAACGAATACCTGTATACAAATACACACACACACACACACACATCTCGGCACTTATAGCCAGGCATATTTGAAGTGCATCAGTGACTCGGAAAACTATATTTCTATCTCAAGTTTCTTGTAGTATTTTAGTGGGATGTTATTAAATTAAGGTGTTCTTTTTCAATACAACAGACATTCAATATACGCCATGTAAAAACAAAAGTACTTAAAATTATTTACATGTCTGATATATTCTTTCTAAAAACAAGACATTACTTTGACTCTTTTGAGGTTAAAACAATTTGCAAACAATTACAACAGGTCTGGAATATGCTGAAAAACATGGTCCAATATATTTGTTAAATAGTCTTCATTAAAGTGTACCGACTCACATTTTACTTTTAATGAATACTGAATATTAAATATTACAAAATGAAATACTAGAAAATTTCTTTTGTTACAAAAAAACAAAAGGGGCAACAAATATAATATACAAACACACACTTATATTAAAAACACAATTAAATTCAAGTTTAAAATGGTTAATTCTATTATAAGTTGAAGAACATTTAAAATGAGACTTACTGGATTTTTGTTTAGGCTTACGTTCTGAAAAAGCACGACGTTGGAAGTACTTCTCATGTTCACTCTCAGCAGCTGCGAATTAAGTCATGCATCATGCATATTTTAACATGCATCAATTCAAGTTAGTGGGAAACACTTGAGTAATAACAATTATGAAACAAGTGCTTCAACTTCCATGCAATCATTTAATCTTAGAAACAAATTTAAAGTTAGACCTTACCTTCAACTTTTTGAGAGATTAACTCTGACTGGTCTAAGTGCAGCATGGAGATAATAAAAAAACATCTAAGCATTTTGTATTTAGAAAGGTTGTTTCTTTTGGAAAATTTCATAAAAATTGTGTCAACTGGAAGTTCAAATACTTATTTTTACTATTTACTAACCACAATTCTTTTTTTTTTTTATTTTCAAAGGTTACCAGCAGCTTGAAAACATAGTTATCTCAAACTTCAAATTAAATCACACTACAAGGCTATTTTTGTAACACTTTGAGGAAATATGTTGCCTGTAAACTGAAGCTCTAGAGAATTTGTTTATCTATCCAAATACTTCTTACAAAACAGGTAAACTTTTACAATGAACAAACAAGTTTTGTAGCAAGAGATATTTATTATCACAGCTTATCATTTGATTTATAAGGAATATCAAACACTTTTTGCCATCTATGTAAAAGTGTAAAACATCCTGGGGTTTGTTCCCTTTTTTTTTGCATTGTGCTTAATAATAATAAAAAAAAGTTTATCCATCTTTGTTGATTACTAACTATTACCTTTTGAATGGAGACTTTCAGTACTGAGAAATTGTCATCACTTAGCAAAATTAGGAGGAGGTTTACATATAACTGTGGATAGGTAATCACTCTACAATACAGTGGTATACTTAGTACAAAAAGAAACAAAGTTACACTTTTGTGTTTCTAGAAGTACTATAATGATTAGTGGACAGATTTACAAAATAAAAAAAGTTACGAAAGATTATTATTTTTTCTTTGCTGTTATAAAGTCATAAGTTGTCCAATCACAGAAAGGATTAACTAATGATAAGAAAGATGCATTGATGTCTAACATTTTCACAGCTAGATAAGTGGTAATACGTCATTATGTCAACTTATGATTGACAGATTAATACCAAAGGGAAGGATTATAGTCAGAGAACAGTGTACTCTCCCTACAACACTTCATTCTTTATGCGGTAGTGCACCTAGATTACTGTAACTATTTGTTCACAATGCCAGTAATGCTTCATGTTCTTCTCAAACATACACTCCACCCTTTAATTCTTGAAAGATGTGTTTACACAAAACTAAATGGCAATACTTATATGACATGTGGAATAAGTACAGAGACAAACTTTTTAACAGCTTAGTTACAAATATCTATACATCTCTACAAACAACTAATATTAACACTATCACTTACTAGTATTATAGTATACAGTACCTACTTAAATACAATATAATTCATATCATGACTAGTTGTTACATTTAATTTAAAAAGGACTTCTTCTGGAGAGAAACGTTAAAAAAATATTAGTTTTTGGCTAAATTTAATCAATACCCTTGGAAATAGTAATCACCTCGAACTAATGTGATAATCAAAAGGAAAAAGAAAAAAGAAAAAGAACACGACTTTCAATAATTAAACTTCTCTGAACCTCTTGACAAGTTGGCAAAATGAAAATAAATTACCTAAAAACAATAAATTTTTGAAGTATAAAACATAATAGTATGGATACAAATAAAACTTAATTTTTAACGTCTTTTCTATGACAATAACAGTAGTCACCACGAGAAACCATAAATCTCTTTAAATCAGTTTTTTAAATAATTTTTCTGTGTATCTTGCAATATATATTTTTAAGAAGCAAACCATAAGCGATAATACATTCCACTGTCCAGAAAAATTTCAAAGAAAACTGTTTTTAATAAACTTTAAAATAATTCCCATACCATACCTTCTGGTGATAGTCGGACAGAGTGAGAACGTTGAACACTTGGATCATTCGAGGCGTCAAAAACTAAGAAGAATGGAAGCATGCAATAATCAAGCATCGTGCATATTGGGATGAGGAATTAAAAAGGATGCTGGCATTTATTCATATGCGCCATTTTACTAAAACATTTTATATAAATGCAAAGAATGATAACAACAAAAAATGCTAACAAACTTGCAAATACAGAAACAATAACATAAATTAAAGTTTATTAGGAATGCAACATGCATTACTCATGCATTGAATATATCAGCTTCAACTTATGATCTGAAAATCGTTTTGCCTCAAAAATTGTGTGTTTATATGGACTGTTTCCTTTCAAAAGCTAAATCTACTTAGGCGAAGTAAAGAAGTAAAAAATGTGACAAAACAAAATGTTTTGATATAAAATAATAAAGAAGATGATTCCATATACGTGTTAGTGATATTCTTAAAGAACAAAGAAAGCAGCATACAAAGTTATTTCATTTTGGCTTATTTAATTACTTCAAAGATTACAGGAGTCTTATCCAGCAGTCTGAAACGATCCCCTGTTTGATGGTTAGAGAACATACTATATTTATTCCAAAACTGACTTTAACTTGAAGAGTCTGTATTTAATCTTGATATCCAAATCTTTCAAATAACCTAAATATAATTATATATCAATAACTAGATCATTATCCTACATACAGGTGAAGTAACTTAATGTTAACTCTTAACATTTTTTTAAATTGATCAATTCTCTGACATTTAACTAATAAAATTGTAAGTATGATTGTTTCTTATTGGTAAAACACAATTTGTGAGTATCTAAAAATTCATTTGGGGAAAAAGAAAAAGGTAATCACAGCATTTTTTTCTTAATTCTAATGTTTTTGCTAAAGCAGATATAACATAAGCTACTCAATATTTAACCAGTAATCCAAGCCATATATTTAATCAAACATTACAATTTCCCACAACAGATTTTTTTTCTTTAATACTTGTGCCTATGACACTATACTGGTGCCCATAAGAAACAGATTGTTGAACGGTACATGATTTAATGATACTATGGATAATAATCCTAAAAAGACAAATATTTTGTGAACAATCCTACATCATGCTTTTATAGATGGTCAAGCAACTTAGAAATAAAACACTTCTAGAATGATTAAACGAGAGCCGATTTTTTTCATTTACTAGAAATAAGCTTAAATACTATGTTAAGGCAATGTTTTAATTTCCTTACAGAATATTAAATCTATTTTTAGAGTAATTGATACTTCATGAGAAATAGCTGTGCATGGTCACATGAAATTTGTGTCAGGTAATTTACAAAGTTCCTATTTCAGTTAAATATACTTACATTATTTATATATATATACATAATTAGGTTAGAACATACTCTTTTCTCTTTGGAGTTAAATTGTATTACGCGAAATACTAATTCTCTTAGTGAGTACTTGTATGGCTATCAAAACTGAACCGAGTGCTTCAAACCACCATCAGATGTTAGTAAAGCCAAATCAATTTGTTGTTCCCAAATTTTAGGCCAGAGATTTAATAATCATGTACATGCATTAGAAATACAAACCAGCAGCGAATCTCATTTACTTTGAAGCCACAACCAACAAGTATTTAGCAGAGTCAGTACCACACCAGACAATACAAAGCACATATCTCGGCAGCAGCATGTGCTACCACTGACCGTCAGTGACGATTATCTGCAGCTCTGGTGTTTTCTGCTGAGATTGTTTTTGGGTGGTATCTGTATCAACTCTACGAGTGCCTAAATTACCAGGAATCAAGTAGGGGAAAAAATCAAAACTTAAGAAATAAAAAGAAACAGTTGATCAAAAGAAAATATTCATAACGCAAACTTCAAAGAAGGAAAAACTTACAAGTTACATGATGAAAAAAAAGTAAAATAAAAAATACCAAATGATATTAGCAAGTGAATTAGGTTTAAAACATCTTGTGATATTTTGTCAGATATTATAATAAAAACAATAAAATTTTAATCCAATAAAGAGTATATAACTGTGCAGCAAACCAATCCAATATTTTCAGATTGGGTAACCTCTAAATATACTTAATAAAAGAAATGTAACAATCAATTTTAAAGTAAAACAAACCTACCTTCATCTTCAGAGACAGGGGTAGTGGGAGAATGAGGAGGTGATCGCGAGTCTGCAGGGGTTGTCACAACTGGTTGTTGATGTTCTGGTACTGCCACTGGTTCTATCAACAGATGTTTTATTTCTTCTGGTATTTCCTCCTCCACTGAAAACACAAGTGTAGGTAATAAAACTCAACTAAGCTGTAATTGTACGTACTTCTCTCAAGTTTAATGAATTCCTAGGTTGTACTTTTCTTCATGTAAATAAAAATTATATTCTGGTTTCATTATGAAATTTTTTGTATGAGACTGTTTAATTTTTCATTCAGCATTCAAACCTTTTAAACTTCACTATTTAAGTAAAACATGTCAACAATAATCAATATCAATAGTAAAGTTCAATTAATCTTACAAGATAAAACTTTAACTACTCTTTTTGACACTTTGATTTTCAGGTGAAATCTAATCATGAAGTTGCCTAAACTTATCAGAAAAAACAAAGATAAATTAAAGAATTATTAAAATGAGCACAAATTAATTAGTGAGTTCTGTATTATTTTATCTTTCAAGTAAGAAGTGTAAAAAAAAAAAAAAATTTCTGAAGTTCATCCTACTAATTGTAATCTCTGAAGTGATCCCGTTCCTTTCACTAAGTTCCTTGAAATTTAGTTCACGCAAGAAACAATAAAGGCATAAACCTGATACAAACTCAGCGAAGGAAAAATAAAGAAATAAGAAGCATTAAAACATTCAAGCACCATTTAATAACTGAGGTCACCAAGCTGGAGATTTTAATCATTCATATGCTTAATGTTACTCAGCTTCAAATGCAACATTGAAACACCTGCGTCTCTAGCTCAAAGTTGTATAGATACTATCATTATCATTAATCCACTACTTTACCAGTGCTTACACAAAAATGAGTATAGAGAACTTTATAAAATGTTTAGTAAAATTTTATAAAAAATGAGGAAATTAATGTTAATGAAGGATTAATAAAATTGCTCACTTTTATTTTTATTATTTGTTTTTTTTCTTACTCTTCTTAGATTACTTCATGTCACATAGAGCCAAAATGATTCATTTGGTAACAGTTCCATTACTGAACATAATGCATTTAATCAAACTTTTACATAGCTGTTCTTTACTAATGTAAAAATTCCAGTTTATTTTCCTTTATTTTCTCTCTTCACATTTTTGTTTACCAATTCCCATTTTGCTTTAAATAAGAACTATACTTAAAGTCTAATTTTAATTTTTTTTTTTCAACTACACTATTGTCTAAAATTGTTACACTGGGAACAAATAATTTCTATCAATATTGTTTACCTAGTTCTCCCTTTTGTTTTTTCTCAACAACCCTACGGTATTCTTCTAGTTCCTGATCTGTGATATTATCAAACGGATTCTTTGCATACGCAGTCTTATAAACCATGGCATTGTGTTGGAATTCTCGCTGGATGATTCCCTTGGATGCAGCTCCAACTAATATTACCTGATCACCAACACCACTAATCCTGGCATCCTGGGATTACAAACCACTGCATTATTGAAATGAATTTACAATACAAAGGTCACACCAAATGTCCTTCATATCTAAAACACTAAAGTATTTTATAAGGGTTAACTGATTAATTTTGGAAATATTTCTCATAAACATGTTTATAGGAGAAAACATTATTGAATTAAAAAAAATAACTAATGTCAATTAAATCTACTAGCATTTATGAACATAAAGTAATGTTAATGTGCCTTGTATTTTGTATAAATCTTGTTATATTAAAAACAGGTGATATTATACTTCAAAATGTTGAATCCAAACTTTCACCAGTAATTGCAAAAACCTTGTCATCACATAATTTTATAAAATTAGATGTAGATGTGTGAATATCTTAATACAATTTATAGCAGTAATCCTTTAAAAATAAAGCTACATCCACCATGACAGGAACAGTAATGAAAGTTTATACATGCCTAATATTTAATATAGAACCAGTACCTGCAGGTTTTTAGCCTCCTCCCAGGAGACTCCTTCAAGAATGTGAGACTGTGGTCCAGCTGTTATTGTAGACTTCATTCTATTGGCTTTTATCTAAATAAAAAAATTATTGAAAAAAAAAATAATTCATATAGACACACACACACACACTCACAATCAATAAAAACTTTACATGCCAATTATTAAACAGAATAATTCCTAATAACCAAACCCCTAACCCTAATCCAGAAAAAATGTGCAGTTTAGACTGCCAAACCAAATGATTTTAACACTTTTATAAAAACACAGAGTGAGCAACAGAAACCTACAACAGATAATAAAAATAACACTTCCAGCTAATGTCATGTGGTAAGATTTACTTGATCAAGTGTGGTCACTTTGAACATGTGTAATACTAAATTGTTTCAGTAATTATGCAAATACGGTTAAAAAAATACAAAAAAAAAGTTTTTTGTGTTACTTGTAAAGTAAGTTCATGTCTCGTCATTGGTGGGTTTGCTATGCCACATCCTTCACAACACAGCAGTACAAGTTCCGCCTGATAAATGTTCCATCAACTGTTTTCCTTTTATATGCACATTTGCTATTTTACTACTTTCAGAAAATCATTTTATTTCTAATGAAATAATGCAACTAAAAGTATTCAAAACCTCACCTCTTTTTGTTTCTGTTTAAATTCTTTCGGATCACCAGTATTCTTGGGGAGAAACTGATGAGTACTCTCTATTTTTACAGAAGAGCTATGGGATGGTGATCCTTCCTGTACCCACTGTCAAAAGGAAAAAAAACTGGATACATACAAGATGCTTTTCTTTAGCATTTCATTTGTTTTTCAAAGTTAACTACAGTTTGACTAAAATGTGTCAATGCAGTAGGGTTGTACTCTAATTTGTCACTAAATTTGGGCCAATTTCAAATATTCTTATGAAAGTGTGAAAATTTGTGAGGATTATTATAACTAACCTCAAAAAAAAAAGAAATTCCTAAAAGTATAAAACATATTTCAAAATTACACAACCTTTGTATGATTAGTTACTTTATTACAATTTTTATAGCTAAAGTTAGAGAAACATGATCCCATCACCTAATATAATGTGAAAAAGGTAGAACATTTGAACTTTTATTTCTACTGCAACAAAACTACTGGCATAAAGGTATTTATAAAAACAATGTATTAATAATATTAAAACTACAATAGTCTCAGAGTTTTACATGGATTAGAGCAGAAGGAGCCAAAAAACTGTAAAAGCTCAAATCCTACAACTGATTAAGAGAAAGGCTAGTGCAGAGATACAAATTTAAAATTCTCTCTCATATAATTATCTTTGACCATTTTTCAAAATTCACATTCCAGAAAATTTAACAGTGATGACAGACAAGTAATCAGCAGAATTGGCAGACACAGCTTTTCACATACACCATGCAGAGTATAATTTGGTAGAAAGTTTCAATGAATAAAGGTAATATGTAAATATTACATGGATGAATATGGATAAAAAAAGGCAAACTTGAGACAGTGTGAAAACTTCCTTCAAGTTTTGCTGAGGCTGTTTATGATCTGGAAGTTGGTGAGCTGCGAGTATTCAGATAAGAATTTGTAGAGAAGTAATTTCTAGCAGTACATTTTCTCAGATGTATTTGAAACATTCATAATTGCATTGTTCTACACAGACTGGTTCAAATATAGAAATTACAAAGACAATATAAGGAACATGGCAGATGATGAAGCCTACATAAAATTTGTTCCTTCTTTTCTTTTATAACAATGACTTAATTTCAACTTGTTCAAGGAGAGCATTTTAACATCCTTCTAAATATTTTCTCCTACAACTTTTTTTTACTCCCCCATTTAAAATCTTTGCCATAACTGTCAAACTACAATATGGAAATCTCCTGTGGTACAAACCAGAGATGACATTTGTTTACAGGAGTAAGGATAAACTATTATATTGTAATTAAGCTGTAGTTCTAGTGGAGATTTCACAAATCATTTCAATAACATTAACTACTCTCAATTATTTATATAAGATGGGGATCAGAAAATTAAAAGAAAGGAACTAAGTATTTAAAATGATGAAAAACTGTTAAAAATCAGCCATAAACTTAAACTAAAAATTTTCATTTCAACATTTTAGGAATTATTTTCATTATTCTTCTTGCTGATCAGCAAATAAAGCTTACTAACAACAGAATTCAGTACTTAATATAAAAACTACATTTCTCTGGCTAATCTCAATTGAACACAGAATACATATGTAATGCTGAATTAAAGTAAATTTTGAACAATTTAATAAAATGACATTTATTTCCAAACTGAACAACACAACACTTCATGCATTATGGGCTACAGAGTCAGAGAACCCAAGGTTCACGAGTAGCTAACTCAAATTCATAGCTTTTAACCGGATGGATGGCAACTACCAACTAAATAGCTACTATTAACCAAATAGCTCGACTGACTGTCACTTCCATAATGTCCCCATAACTGAAAGTCAGAACCATGTTCATTGATATATTTCTGAATGAAACCTTGGACCTTCTGATCCAGAGCCCAGCAAGCTAGCAGCAAGTAACAGTAGTAGCAACAAGTCACAGAGGTGTATTGCTAGATATGCAGGCCAGAATCAGACAAATTAACTGATAAAATTTAAAGGCAAAAGAAAAGTTAAAATGTTAAATCAGCTTACTGAGTCATTGTCCCCATTCCCATCCACTTCTACCCACTGTAAAAACAAAACAAACAAACAATTACAAAAAGAAACAAACAAGGGTTTTAAAGTTGAAAACAAAACATAAACAAAATGTAAATTAGTTAAAGTCTACAATCACTGAATTATTGCTTTGAGATGCATAAAGTTTAAATAAAATGTATATTTTATTATCCGATGTTTTGTGAAGCATCTTAATTTTAAATGAGTATATTTAATCCAAGTAATCTCGCATGCAGGTGTTAAGAAACAATATTTTTTAACAATAATTCAATCTCGAGGAAAACCAAAATAAGTGGTAAACTTCTTTCAAAAAATGCAAAAAAAAACTTTATTCAAAACAAAAGTTAATTAGCTACATTCAACTACATCGTTCTAGAACTTGTTTATTTGGGAGTAAATACATTTCCAATGTTCCATCTAACCACAAAACGAGCATACTTAGTCAAAAAGCTAAAACTAATGCAAATACAAGATCCAAATCTTTTTGCCTTGTTACTTCCTTGCAGGCACGAACACAGCCTCAAAACATTTGTTGGTGCATTTTTTACATTAAAAAATGCAAGCTAAACATTGTAAAAAATATTTATTTATAATTGTTTTATTTTTTAAGAAAAGCTAGATCTTAATGTGGTTACAGAAAAAACATTCATTAATGGAATTGTACTTAAATTTTTTAATTGATCTTTTAATAAAACACAACATTTAATTTAAGTTATAACTACATTATCGATCCTAGTCTCAAAGAATGACTTGTTAGTTTGGTCATATATAAAACTCTTACATATTTCAATCATTATAAAAGTGACTATTAACTTGGTTTAGGTAAACTCAAACTATTTGTACTACACTAAATACAATTTTCCTTCGGCTTTTGTGTTTGCTTGAAACATCTGTTTGATAATCATTTAAATCCATGTTTTTCAACAGGTTCTTATATAATTCAATGGTAAGCACATACATAGCAGCTGCAGAAATAACTAAATTTTCTCTTGACAATTTTTTTTCTATCAAAATTTAACCTAAAGGGATTTTTTTTAAAACAAAGATAATTGCAAAGCAATGCCTTTTTCAAAATGTAAAGTATAGTGCCAAAAATGCATTATTTCTGTGTCTGGTTGCAAGTGCAGAGAAAAAAGTTGACTGAAACACTTCAAGAATAAAAATTTACTTGTAACAAAATCTTTTATTTCACATGCTCAATAGTGATTTTAGCTATAGTTTTAAACTGCCCAACCTAAACATGTCATTTTATTAACCATGCAGCAGAACTGGTCAAAACCATTTGTCCTATAATATTATCAAACATTAATTCCCATAAAAAAAAGTCACATTTCGGAATAACTCATTTATGATAAGTTAAGTATTTCTAAAAACAATCAGCTCTGTTTTATCATGATTTAAATGTTGTTGTACAATACCTTTGTTATTTTTTTGGGATCACTTGTGCCAGTTTCCAAAATTTCAACTTTCTGATATACATTGGGTGAATTAATCCAACACAGTCTGTCCTGGGCTTTCTTTCCTTCCAATAACTTCTTTAGTGGACTGTAAAATAACATATGCAAATAAAACAAAAGATGCACACACAGCTAAAATATTATGACAAAGTAGAATCTGACTAAACTTAAAATAATATGACAACTATTCACAGAATATTAGAATCATACTTTATGTATACACAGTTCATTCAAGGTTCCATTTTCTTGCTTATAAATGCTATAAAACAGATGTCCTACCTGGTTGCACCAACAAACTACCTGATTGTTCTATAAATCTACCACCAAGGTCATTTAATGCAGCTTGTGTTAAATGCTACACTCACATACCATAGACCAGTATCTGTAAATATGTGTAATTAAACAGAAGACAACCTGATGGTTTACTTGAACCAAATGAAATACAAATGATATGTTAATTCTAATCTACATACTTAAATAAAATTGGATATTTAGTGCAAATTACTATGAATGAATAATGTTGATTTGCTTTTACCTATTCAAACTAAAACATTCTGATCCTATTATTAACTAATAACTGTAATACAAAATAAACATTTCATATATATAGAATTGAATACTTAAAACAACTGTGAAATTCATAATAATATGTTAATAACGTCATCTACACAAATGGTTGAATACAATCACAAGTATAGCACAACATTTTTTGATAGTATGGCACACTTTAATAAAAACAATAACAATGCCTCAAACAAAAATAAAGTAAATTATTAAAGTAGTCTAAACTCTATAGAAATTATTTAAACTGAAAACTAAATGGTTGGAATAAAAATGTTACTTTAGACAATAACAATATATATTGATTAAAAATATACATCATACAATGGTGACAGAAAAATAGATTTGTCAGCCAAGATTCATTTAAAAAGCACCATTCATATGAAAATTACATTTAGTATATACAAGTATTCTTTTTGACTGGTGATATTGAATTTATGCATATTAAATGGTAGCAGGGTAAATGTATATGGTTTGGCAAGCAGTCAAGAATACTTAAAGATATCACCAAAACATCAGTTGACACAATTTTATACCTACAGGAATAGTGACTAAAAGAAATAAAAAAAAGTTTGATGTAGTGACTTTGAATCCCAATTTTGTATTTATCATGTTAATCTTCTGTAATTTATAATAACAAACCCAATCTGATTTGTATATTTTGTGCACGTATGCAAGTAGATATAGATACAGTTTTTTCAGATTTTGTTTTGCTATAATACTGCATTTGACTCCTCATTCAAAAATAAAGTTTGGTGTACTAAAGTGCAAGTTCCTACATATCAAACTTTTATTTATTCAACTTGAAACAGTGGCATTGAAAACCAGAACTACAAAACTTCTTTTAAACTATATGCTTGGAAACAAATCAATAAAACATGTGACACTCTTACCTTAACCATTTCTCCTCTTCCAAAAACTGAGCTAATGATGATGCTGCTGGTGGGATTTCTACATCATTTTTGGTTCTTGGAGCTTCTGACCTCAACAATGGGTGCCTGTAACTGTACCCACTTCTGAATCCCTAAAAGCAAAATTCTTATTCTGAAGATTTGTCATGAAAAAAAAAAAAGTCAAAATTTCTGCCATACATATATATATTCAGCATCTTCCCAGAAGGAGTTAATATATAAAAGAAGGATTTAACAAATGAAAAAAAACATCAGACAGCAAGCAAAACAAACATTGTTATTTTCTTACATTAAATCTTAAGGTAGAGTTCACTATTCAGTAAAGAAACTAAGTCTTTTTTCTTCTCAGTAAAGCATAAGGAATTAAACATTATGAAGAGGAACACCAAATTTCAAAACCTCAAAGACAAAATATCTTACAGCATTATCTAGCATCCTCATTTGGGCCTCAAACTCCAAATCCCAAACTCTGGCTTTCTTTGGCTTCTCTTTAGGCTCTGCTTTCTCCTTGTCCTCATCACCATTCAAGGCATCATCTGTTTTACCCTGCACATGCTGACCACCAGATCTCACCATGTCTCTAACCTTTTTTTGGGCTTCTTCAGACATAATCTGGATATTTTCTATGCCTAGAGGCATAAGACGAACCTACAAAAGATGAAGCCAGCAATTACAATGGAATAATAATAGTAATACAATAAAAAAAAGACACCAACAAGAAAAATAACACCAGTATTAATTTAACTAAATAATTTGTGAAAGACTTTTTAATTAAACATGACTTATTGTGGCATCCTAAGAAAATGAATGATTACTCTTTGCAGTTAAAACTTCAAATGCTACAAGCGTGCTGGTACGTAAAAGTTTACATTATTAAATTATCTGCATGAAAAAATTAATTCCATTTTGTTTCATCAGTTAGTGGTTTATATACCTGTGTTTTACAAGCTGTGACAACATTGCGTAGCTGGAAAACAGCTTCCTCAAGTGATTCACCACAAACAACAACCCCATGATTCCTCAGGAACATAACCTGGGGATGGAAGATTTAAATCTGTAATTACTTCATAAAATGAAAACACTTTATAATAAATGTGATGGAAACTTTATTCTCATATATTACTCCACTAATGGTGACTATAATAGTATGATTTATCTTGTGAATATAGGTGCATAGGAGAAAAAATAAACTTATCTCCACAAATTTTGGTATAGATTTAAAAGACAAAGAAATCAGCAACTAAATACCATTTCATTCAATAAAAATATATTTCACCTAACATCTACATAAATTAACTACTAGGTCTTCAAAAAAGTAATTTCCAATGTTCATACAAGTAATACAAGCTGCATGTACAACAACAAAACATACGTATTATGAATTAAAAGATTGCAAATTTTTATGAACTATAGCAACTCCACAAATGTCTAAGAAAGATCTTTGATGCAATAGAAAAAATTAAAACACCTTGTTGATAGGTCCCAAATTTCGGGCTAATGCTTCTCTTTCTGCTGGATTCACCAGAATCCCTTGATAGTTATGATAACTGACATCACCAACAATTGCTGCCTCTTGACTAATAGGGAGAAGTCCACATTTTGTTGCTGACACCTGGAATTATCCATAAACAGTAACTAACCACACAGATGTAAATAAAGGTACAAAATGACTTTAGTATGCTAATAATGAATTCAGATAAAGTAAAACATAAAAATATATTTACAAAATAAAAAACGATAAATCTATGGTTGAAATAATGAAGTAATAAAAGGACTAACATTGAGTGTGAACACAGCTTAAAATTAAAAATCCAGAATAACAGTTTGTCAATAGCATTTGAATAAAACAAAGACTAGCTGAGCAAAAAAGGAATGGCTTTGAAAAAAACAAACAACTACTACATATCATCCATGGTAATACTAAGGTACAGCATAGAAGACTGCATATGCACAACATTATGTGCTTTATTGTATGACTGTATTCACAAGGAAATCATCTATATTTGTAATACAATGGGCTTATAAAAATGACTTTGAGCTATGACATAGGATGTTACACAATTGTTTCATATTATTTGCCCACTGACACAATTATGAAAAATTCCAAACCAAGAAATAGAATGATGCCTGAATTTTATTTTTCTTTCTTGATAACAAGTATGCTTTTCAGAAGTAGCACAAGTTCATAATAATATACTTTAACTAAATACAAACAGGGTTGGTCATTCTGAACAACCTTGTTATTACCACATAACTCCAAATTTACTAAGTGTATCCTCACAAAATTTGGCAAGCATTTAGTAAACAGTACAAGTCTGTTGCACACAAAAAATCAGATTTTTCAATAAAGCAGTTTTAATAAAGATTTGTCTGTGAATTTACAAAGCCTTTACTGAGTCAGTCAGAGTGAAAGATACTTTTAATTCAAAGAATAAAAATACTTCTTTTCATCTTCATACTTTATTTGCATAACCTCTAGAACATCACAAATAAATATGAAGTTTATTTTGACAAAACTGTATACTTTATCTTTCACTTTCTCTACCCTAACATTAATTGTAGTGAAATTATTGCTCATTGAAAAGTATAATTACCTTGACAAGCAATAAATCACCAGGTAGGATAATGGAGTAAACAGATGTTTTGGGTTACATCATGCCTGCTTTCATAACCCTAATTCATCCTACTAAGTTTGTTGTCCAAAACATAATTCATGTAGGTTTCAAATATGAATTTTAGAAAACTAAAATCATGCCACTCACTATATTATATTATACAATAACTACTGTAAGTTATCAGAATTCCTAACTAACGTATAAATGTGTTTAAACAGTTCCATTACTGCTCGGGACAACAACTACTCAATACGTGTAAAGCTTTTCTTGCAAACTACCATCTCTATCAGCCAAAACTAACTGAAGGAGAGTAAGATTTATGGTACACTACAATGTTCTTTCTGTTGGTTATAAACATGACCAATAGCAATGTCAGAAAAAATAATAGACATTTCTTAAAAGACAGAGGGTATGGGAGGGAAGTGTCAAAGTGGAATTAACAAATAATGATATCTCAGTGAAACAAAAAGAGGTGGACAAATTTATATTCTAGCTTGTGACTAGCTATAGAACATGGTTCTAATTGGTTGAACAATATGAAGCAATTGTAAGGGAAAGGGAAAAAAAATGTATAAACAAGGAATAACAGAGACACAAAGCCATATGACTAAGAGTTGCAGACTGAGAATTTGCTTAAATATTTCCTTCTAAAGTTAGGAAAATTAAAACTTAAATAATACAAAAAGTTGAATTACAAATTACATTTCTATGCCAAGCTTACTAACATACATTGAAAATAAAGTTGTTTAAAATTTTGATGTAACTCTGGAAAAGGTAGTCACATGTGCACTATTACTCCCACCCATATTCAAAAAGGTTAACATAGAAGAAAAAGACTCACTGCAACACAAGGAGGATAGTGAATGTGAATTATAGCCCTTATGTCTGGACGAGCAGCATGAATGGCTGAGTGAAGCATGAAACCTGCCCGGTTAAAGTTGAAGCTACTGGAACCCTGGTCAATAACATTACCCTGCATGTCGACCTTTAGAAGTGATGAGGCCGTGACTTCATGGTACTGGAGGCCAAAGGGGTTCAGAAGGAAATGTTCTTGGTCCTGGCTAACTCGAGCCTAACACAAAGAACATATTAAATTGAGTAACACAAACTCAAATAAGTAAACAAGTTATTTTTGCACTTAAAACTCTGAGTGGATACTAATAATATTAATTTAGTATAACAGCCAAAAATAATAGTGTTAACAGTAAAGAAATCCAAATGATAAAACAATGTATTATAATCTCTAAAAGTAAGTAAAGTATATTTATTTACCTATACTCATTATCAGGTTAATTTTTAGTTTCTCTATAAGTACTGAGCTTGCTCTGATCATAAGTGAATATTAATTATAAACTTCTGTTATGTACAAACTTATAAACAACATCCACTTGTAATTAACAAGCATGACTATATCAATGCTAGGGAAATTTGTACTATACTAATGAATCTGTTCAGCTTAAGAGTGGGTACACTAAATAAGAAATGTTAACTACCTATTCTAAAAAACATATTTAATTATCAAAGAAAAAAGAACTAAGGGTTAAGTATTTTAGCCAAATAGCTACACAGGATGACAGTGAACTTCATTTTATTGAAGCATAAACAAAAGTAACTGTCTCCAGTGACAGGAAAAGTTTTTAGTTAGTCTAGCAAAAGTACCCGTTCCCAGTGATGGTAAAATTAATCTAACAAAAATACCCATCCCCAGTTACAGGAAAAGTTTAAGTTAATCTATCAATTTAAATTATTTCATGGAGCCCAGCATGGCCAGGTGGTTAGGATGCTCGACTCACAACCTGAGGGTCGGTGGTTTGAATCCCCATCCCAGCAAATGTGCTCACCCTTTCAGCCGAGGAGGCATTATAATGTGATGGTCAAACCCACTATTTATTGGTAAAAGAGTAGCCCAATAGTTAGCAATGGGTGATGATGACTAGCACAGATAGCACTCACTCATGTAGCTTTGTGCGGAATTCAAAAACAATCAATCAATATTTCAGAAACTTTAAAAGGGTTAATCGTGTTGCACTCTTGGTTTCACTCACAGCCAAAGCTCAGAGCTACTTATACTACCCATCGTGAAAAGTAATTGTTGAGCATTTCAGTCATACTAAGAGCCACTCAACTATAATATACAATTTTTATTCTTTAAATTACATCACATTTTGAAACGTGAATGATAGTGTGATTAATTCCTGACAATTTAGTGTAGAATATCCTGCTTGCAAAATAAAACTTGGAATCAACATTATTCATGCCTGTTCTCTCATCATTTCAAAAGTGAATGTTGTGCTTTGCGTGCATGCACAACTTTTCAAATGCAGTGCAGGAAGTGGTTGCAGTAAATGGGAGACAGACACCACGGTTCCCAATATATGCAAGATAGACAACTTATTTCATTTTCAAAAATTCTCAGTTGACAACAGCTGTTAGTAACTTAAGCTGTATCAATAATGTTGGAAAAGGACTTCTTGGTACATTAATATCAAACAGTTAATTAATGATGTGCAAAATTACTGGAAATTGCAAGTTTATGAAATTCTAATTCAGTTATTGAAATAAAGAAAATATGGCATAAGAAATATTCGGGTAGGATGTACAATTTGACATTAGACTTTCAACCCACAAATAAAATTTTATTCTTCACTAAAACTTTGTGGGTGATATAAAATTTAGTATGCCATTTTAAAATGGCTAAAATAGAGAAAATCAAAAGAAAGATTCCCTCCCCCAATCATTCCATGATTACTTTGCCATAAATTTATGTAGGCTTTATGTGACCAAGGTAAATAAGCTGAAACATATTGCACAAATGTTATAATGCTTTAATAACTCTTCTGATGAAATTTCTATCATACAGTCCCAGTCAAGTTAACCTAAAGATATATTACATCTTAAACTCTAAACACTGAAGAAAATTCTTACTGTAATATGATTGTAGATAGAATCAGACCACCCATACAGATCCACTAGCCGATAGACAGAAGCAAGCTTGCATCTCAGTATTTTCTCACCCTTAGCATAACGTAAACTATCCACTCCTCTGATGTCATTAATAGGCAGAAGACAGCGAGCAGTATGCAGAGCAGAAGAAATACGAGAGGCAGGAGGAAGGAGAAGATCTGAAACTTGTTTAAGAGCAGTTAAGCTGTTAGTGCCAGATCCATCATTCATCCGAGACTCAATTATTCTCTCAAGTTCTTCTCGAAACATCTGGCTGTAGGAAGAAATTATACAGAAAGGAAATATTTTCAAATGCAGTTTTAATATACATTTAGTAGCATTTCATTATAACAAAGTGTAAAATTGTTTTAAAACCATGAATTTTTAAAAATAAAACAGGCACTGAATTATCAACTTCAAAAAATTCACAAAAAGACTATCCACAATGTTAAAAAATACTATTTATGTTTCATTGAATTTAGCTTAAACACAGCAGAACATATATAAACATTTGAAAACACCTACACATACATTTTCAGTTTAATCTGTTGTGACTAAGGGTTTGATTAATTCACATTGTTACATACAAATTTCAATATTCAAATAGACACCCAGTTGTTATATAGTGGTGTTTTGGTTATATAGAATGAAACTACAATCGAATAGTCCCCCCACATCTTGTGTAATATATAAGTATTCAAAACTATAGTCTAATTATATTCACAGTAAAAAAAGCTTTATGTGAAGTTAATGACAGCAATTAAGATAAACAGCAAGGATGAACAATTGGCTCAGAACAGGAAGTTTTAATATACAGCAGAAAGTACTCTTACTTAAGTAATTCTACAATTACAAGCCAACAGTCCTGTGAAAGACAAAGGCTACAGAAATGTGTGTGTCTCTCTCTATGGTATTTGTTGATCAGTGCCAGTGAACAATTGAAACATTTGTTGTCATCTATATCTACAAGAAGTACAAGTAATCTAACTATGCCTTTATTCTGATCATTAAACATACAAGTTAGAGATAGTTTTATTTTTTACAAGAGTCTCTGATTTTAAGAAAAGTTGTAATATAATATTCAAACAAATAATAAAAATAAGTTATTTTTCCTGAAAATACCACACAGTCCCTTGTGTTTTCTCATATGACAATAAACTCAGTCTGCATGTTTTTGTACAATCACTAGGCTGTTACGGTAGTATTTCAGTAATAATGACACGAGATACTTCATATAAAGGCCATCTTCATGCTAAGTTTCTCATTATGTGCAATTTTTTGTTAGTTTTCATTTTTAGTAAGAAAATTTACTGCATTACAATGACGTTAATGTGATTTGCAACAAATTCTGCTTTTTTAAATGTACATATATTAGAAAGTTAGAACATTTATCCTAACAGAGCACATCACATTAAAACTGACAAAAAAATGTCAATCACCTATTCATAATTGTTTCTACTCTTTTTCTCCTTTCCATCTCTTTCATGTCTTGTTCAATGTCAGGTCGTCTCCATAACTGTCGTTGATATTCGGGATCATCAGGATCATAATTTTCCACCTTGAATTCACAATAAGTAGGGCCATTAACCCTCTGCTCTACATTAGCCATTCTACTGGCCCAGGTGATCCTAGAAAAATAGACAAAAAAGTGATATTGGTATATCTTTCAGACAGGATAGCAAAACAATTTGTTTCCTATTTTTCAAGTACAATAATGAGAGATTAAATACAAAAATTTACTTTAGTAAAAAACAAGATCCAATAAATTTCTCTTAATGTTTGGTGTTTTGAACATACAAGATATAGTCCTATCTATTATAAGAAATTGACTTCACTCTGGCAATAATAATGTTAAAACTAAACATGTTTCTCATTATTAGCAAAGAACTAAACAAACTGATAGATAGATTTTATTAAATAGGTGGTACAACCAATAAAATAGTTCAGTTATTCTGTGTTTGAAGTGTTGAACCTAAATAAATTACTTTCTTTTCATTCAAACTGGTATATATACAAGCTTTTGTTTCTTCTTTGATACAGAATAATGCTTAATACTTATGTCTGAAGCTGTTAATAAAGTGTAATTACACTTATTCTCAGGTAAGTGTTTTTATTACCTCTTTCACTGCTCTTATTAATTAGGCTCCTTTTATACAATGGATTATTTGTTTTATTTTCTTTATACAGTGTAATTCAATGAGGGTACCCAAATGATGAAACAATACATTGTAATCACTATAATAAAATTTGAACATTACTTCAAATTAGTTATACTCATTACTAGGTGTGCATTTTTTTTTCTCCAGAAGTTTATATTACGTAGTTAAGAGCATTTCATCAATAATGAAACCTTCCCCACTACAGAATTACTGAATACAAGTCTAGAGAGGTTATAACTCCATTGTATAGGTTAATGGATAAGCCACATTTGAAGTACTGTCTTCAGTCTTGGGCTCCTCACCTTAGAAAAGACACTGAATTCTTAAGATAGGTTTCAGAGGAGGGTTATTAGGATGATACCTTGGATGGAAAGGTTGTCATACGAGAAGAGGATAAGTTAAGATCTCTAATCTTGTTTTATCTTGAAAAAAGAAGAGTTAGTGGAGATCTGATTGAGGTGTTTAAGACTGTTAATGGAACTGATAGTAAGACAAGGAATCATCTTCAGCTAAGACAGCTTTATTTTTTCAACAAGGTGATTGGGCCTTTGGAACTGGTTAACTTCAGATATGGTGGATGCAGTTAATTTAGGGAAGTTTAAGGGAACGCTTGATAAATATTTGAATGATAAAGACTGGCTTTGAATTGCTTAAGTGTTTAATTCAATTGAATAGATAAGGTAGCCTAGATAGACCAAAAGGTCTCTTTGTGTCCTTTAATGTTACAGTTATCTCTTGCTTTGTCACATTTTCACAGTTAGTTGAATAACTACACAACACACCAAATTAAGTAAATGTTTATTTACTGAATAAGATATACTCAAATTATAGTAATTTTTGATAACACTAAACATTTTTTAAGTGACACAAGTGCACACTAATGTATTAATTATTAATTAATCTTAATTACATAAAATTGTCCTCACACAAGAATGTAATTTTTATAACTAAAATATCTAAAACTAAAAGACTGAATATGAAATTCAATCATGATGGTGTCAATTTCTGAGGAGACAATGTGATACTAACATATTTTGTAAAATGTTCTTCAGGAAGATAGAACTGTACACGTATTTTACATTTCAATTCCCTCTTCCATAAACTTTTTTCTAAAATTTATTTTTCTACTTAATCAGAATTAATTATATGCACGGACTTAAAATTAAGTATCAAAATAAACAGTGAAACAGAGGCCACATAATATTATCTGTCTGGTAATATTCACTTATTTTCTAGTCAACACTGGCAAGACTTGAAATTATACCAGATAGGCCTATACCCATTATAATTATTATTAATGATGTTTGCTTTTAATATTAAAGTTAATAGTACAAAAATGTATATTTTTAGTTTCTACAGCATAACATGTTCACTAATATAACACAAATATAACTATTTGTTGTAACGTAACTTATTATCATAATATATACTTACAAAGCACACAATCTGATTGAATTGAATGTACAGTATGCTACCACACCCTAGCACTAGTAGCATGAGGATATAAACACACCGCGAGGCCTAAATTGATTGGTTAGCCTACTCGTTCTTCCAACCGGTTCTGAACAGGACAACATTAAGTATCGACTCTCATTGAACCATTTAGGGTTAAAACTTAAAATATTAATAACACAACCTACTGCAAGTGCAACCAATATAATTCCCCAACAATAGATTTAAATGTATTAATATTAATTGGCAGAATAATTGCCATTATTTTTTCTGACGAAGCCTAATAGTAACACTGCCGAACAAGAATGAACAATGATACAACTTACAAGCAACAAAAACCTATTAGTTTTTTTTCAGCTAATAACTGTTGAAACACTGAGTCAACGTACTTTTGTACACTTTGAAACCATTTTGATAATAAGAAGCTCGTAAGAATAATAATGTCGTCCGTTTCAAAAGAAATCTTAGGAAAAAAACAACAACAAACAAAAACAGTTTGATATTCTACTGCTGTGTTTCATTTCAACTTGCTTTAAGTTTTGAAATAGCGTATATTAACGATACAAGGCCTTAAAACAGAAGAATATACAATACGATAATTTTATGTTGTGAAAAAAAACAAAAAAAAAACACGTTACCTTCGACTTTTTACACGCTTACCCATTTAATTAGATGCTTTTAACTTAAAACATAAATCGTAAAAAAAAGTATTGTTGAAAATTAGATATTGAACTAATAGTATGAATTTAACACAAGCTCAAACAAATTTACTTAAAATTCACCGCTAAACAAAGTAGTACCTGTATCATTAAGTATAGAAATAGAAGTTTACAACAAACAATAAAGACTATTATAATTGGAACCGTTAAAGCTGTGTTACGACAGTGGGGGTCACGTGACGAGTATTCTAGAAGATTCGCTAGTGTGTTACGCCAGCGGGGTCACGTGACGAATATTCTAGAAGATTCACTAGTGTGTTGCGACAGCGGGAGTCAATTGACGCTGGTGGCACGTGTTGAGAGTCTTAGAAGTTTCTAGAACAGGCAGTATTATCGTATATAAGTGCGCTAGACAGTAAGAGACAGATGGAGTCGAAGCAGTAGTGGAAACAGAGACGTAGCGGAGAAGAAGCAGGTAGAGAAAAGAAAGACAGCGATTACGGTCGGCGGGAACTGAGGATACCAGTCTCAGAGATCGAACTCTAGTTTGCGGGGACGGACAATTAAGTCTAAGCGCGATAGAAAGTTAGTGAATTGTTGTGAACTATAGTGTGTGTAACTGTGAAAATTAAGTATTCTTCTTTCTTTTTTTATTTTCTATCCCACTTCTGACACCAATTTGTTACGTCTCTGTATGTTTGTTTGTTAATTCTTCTAAGATACAAGTCCTTTCTTTATAAAACTTGTTTATTCTTCCTCAATACAACTTTGTAATGAGAAGATGGAAACGAGAGGCGGAAAATCAAACTACAGCTTAGCAGATTTGATGGCAGCAATACAAGAACAGCAAAAGAAAAAAGAAGAACGAGAAAAGAAACAAGAAGGCCAGCTTTCAGAGAAGTTTGAGGGACTTTGCTGGCACTGTAACAAACCTGGGCACAAGAGAGCTCAATGCTGGCAACTTCTACACAGGGAAGGAAAGACTGCTACCCAGAAAGGTTGTTGGAACTGTGGAAACCAAGGACATATGAAGAGCCGGTTTAAGAAAAATATTACCAACAAGTCAGCCTCAAGAAGACCAGTAGTGGTTGGTGTTGACGGACACTCACCAACCCCCATCATGAAAGTCCCAACAGCTAGGTGTAAAATGCCAAGCACACAAGGTGTCTACATGACAGGAAAGCTGGATGGCC